TAAAAGCATGCAATGGAGAAAGGATAGCATCTTCAACAAATGGTGCTGGGARAACTGGAAAGCCATTTGCATCTTTGCCATTTTCATTTCCTGTAAATGTAAAAGTACTCCAGCGTAATTTTATTCAAAAAGAATTATAAAGATTTAAGTGAGCAATCATTCTTTGAAATTGTCAAGCCATTTTTTTCCCCTGTTCTTTCTTTTAAAAATTACTTTAGATGTATTGGAACAGTACAACATTTAAAGAGTAAATTTGGAAAAGGCTACTTTTTGGAAATTAAATTAAAGGACTGGATAGAAAATCTAGAAATAGACCGCCTTCACAGAGAAATTCAGTATATTTTTCCAAATGCAAGCCGCCAGGAAAGGTAAAATATTTTTAACTTAGTTATATTTCATTATAGTGCAATAATCATAAAAGGTTATATTAAGGATTAGCAAAAAAATCTTTAGTCATTGATTATATCTGTATTTCACATTAATACTTCTGTATTATCACCAATACTGGTCTAATAAAATCTGATGGAATTTTATGTCTGTTCAGTGTAATGTCTTTCAATATTTAATAGTACTTAAAATTTTTAAAGTTCTTACTTGGTAGTAATGATAATTATTTTACTATGGATGGAGTTCTTTTATCATTTCAAACAATTTTTATCCAAATAAATTTCAAATAAACTTATTAGAGTTTAATTCTGAATATAAAAAATGTTTAAACTTGAGCATTAGAGCACAGTTGTAGTAATTTTTAAATTTTTCTGCATTTTATCTTTGTTTTCAGTTTTTCTTCTATTCTGGCTTATAAAATTCCCAAGGAAGATGTTCAGTCTCTTTCACAATCTTTTTCTAAGCTGGAAGAAGGTAAATAGAATTCTAAAATTTTGTAAGGTAGTTCTCAAATTATGAAAGAATTTTATTTAAAAAGTTCAGAACTGGAGGCAACTTATTGTTGAAACTATGGCAAATAAGAACATAATCTTTTATTCATGTAATGTAAGATATAGATAAATATAAATGCTTTAGGGATTTTGTAGAACAACTATCACAATGTAAACCTTTTAGAATTGTCAGTGGACACCAAACAGCATAGTTTATTATATTACATCTGTATAAATGATCACCTAGCTTATCTCTCAGTGGTTTTGTCCAGCATCCAGCGGCATTGTATTTCTTGAATCCTTACTTCCTACTCTAGTGGTAGCAGCAAATGACAGGAGAATTCATGGTGCAAGAGGGTGGGCATTCTTCTAAGTTTTAAAGAAGGTTATTGAAAAAATCTGGATTCTTAGAAAACAAAACAAACAAAAAAAGTATATTTTTAAACTTTTTTTTTCCTTTGGAGGTACTTGGTATTGAATTTGTGCATTTAAAAAATAAGTGAAAGTACAAAAATATGTGCTGGTGGCAGTTAAGAGAGGTTAAATGCCCTGGATTGGGCAAATGTTAAGACACAGGTTAGTTTATAGCATTACCTATGAATAAGGGTTATTATTAATATCTTTCAATACAAATAATGGGATTTTTGTGGTTATTATTATGTGAATGCTGAATAAAAGGTTTTCTTATACCCTATATAACATCTATGGATTAATGTTTTTTAGCCTTAAGAGTATAAAGGTAAACTCTGTTTTTCTGATGATTTCTTTATAATAAAAAAAGTAACCTGAACTACTTAGGAAGAATTAAAGAATTCAGTATGATAGCAGACATGGCATTGGATTAGATTGCAAAAGCATCTGAAATAAATATAGAATATCTTCTGGAGCCAGGTGTGGTGGCACATGCCTGTAATCCCAACAGCTTGGGAGGCTGAGGCAGGAGGATTTCGAATTCAAAGACATGCTCAGCAACTTAGTGAGGCCCTAAACAACTCAGTGAGACCCTGTCTCAAAATAAAATATTTTTAAAAAGGACTGGGGACGTGGCTCAGTTTTTAAATGCTCCTGAGCTTAATCCTTGGTACAAAAAAAAAAAATTCTTAATATTCAGAATCTAGTCCCAGAAGCAAAGAACAGGTTACAGGGGAGTTGGGGAAAGGGACATAGCAGATATTACAAGAAAGGAATAAAGACGAAGGGGATACAGGAGGGAAGGAGGAGATTAGAAAAGGTGAAATAAGACAAGTAATAAACATTAAGTTCTTAAGGTTGTAGAGGAATTGGCATCTGAAGAGAAAAGAAGACTTGAAAGTAACAGATTTTGGCATCTTCAATTTTAAATGAGTTGTTTACATGATTTTTAAAAATAGATTGTTAACTATCTTACTAGTGATTGCCATTTTATCCTTTTAAAATACTGATAATTAAAATCCTATTTTTATATTTTAATAGCTAAACAGACTTTTGCCATTGAGGAATATAGCTTTTCTCAAGCAACATTGGAACAGGTACTTTAAAGTTAATTAAAAAAAATATTTTAAAGTACAAAGTATCTAATAGCAATTATTTAGGTTTAGATTGAAGAAAGAGATACTGTGATATTATAAAATCATTGTAGAATAATCTTAAACTTTGTATAGTTATAAGGAACTTTATAATTATTTGCTTATTGTTTTCAATTTTTTCAAAATTTTAATTTACAAATCATATTTGTATACCTTTATGGGGAACAGTGTGATATTTTGATACATGTATATAACATGGAATAGTTAAATCAAGCTAATTTCCATTTGCTTATTTTGAATAGCTCAATTTTTTCTGTTTGGTAAAGAAAAGTGTTTCATATTAAAATATCTTAAATTATTTAAATATTTATAATTATTTTTATGACAGCGCTACTTAATATATTAATCAACAGTTTATTAATYCTTTGAACAAGCATTCATCTTTGCTTGTAATTAATGGAGATAACTTATTTTGTTTAAATAGTATTAATATCAATAAGTCTCTTTCGATACTGGTTAATATAATTAKATGTGGCCTTATCCCATTTCTCACTTTGTTAAAAGGTCTTGGAGCTGTGTGGTACTTCATTCATTTATTTCCTTTCATTCAGGTTTTTGTAGAACTCACCAAAGAACAAGAGGAAGAAGATAATAGCTGTGGAACTTTAAACAGCACACTTTGGTGGGAAAGAACACAGGAAGACAGAGTAGTATTTTAAATCTGTATTGCTCAGTCTGTTTGCTGAACTTATTTGTTCTTCACTTCATTTAACTCTGCCATTAAAACTTTATTATATGAATGGCAACTAGAGAAATGTGAAGGCATTGCGATTTCCTGCACTCCTTAATTGAAATGCTGTGGTTGTTGTTTTGCTTTACTTTAAATAAAATTAATATGTAATTAAGTCAACTTGCATGTTTGTATCTGAAGAATTTTGAACTGTAGTTTGTATGCTATATTTCTCACTTGCAAGAAGAGATTCTAAAGAAATAGTGATAGAATAACTATTTTGACTAGCTGTGTTTATTTTTAAAGGTCATACCATCTAATTACATAGCTATGTAATGTCCCATTCTAAATTAAAAAAATGAATATATAACTAATATATATATATATATATATATATGGCAATGTGAAAGCTTCTTGCTTCTCCTTTTCAGTTTCTAAAAGAAGCTTTCAGTGGAGGTTGGTATCCATAGAAGCTTGGGTAAACCGTAGAAAGCCTCACTGTAGAAATGGAGGGAAGTGGTGTCTATCCACTAGGTGGCAGTCATCAATCATAAAAAAGGAAAGGAGACTTTATTTCAACTGGCAATTTTAGACACAGGTAATAGAAAAAAGTTGGTATTTAAATTATTATTATTATTATTATTATTATTATTATTTGCTCTTTCAAAGGTATTTTAGTTATAATTTAAGGATGACTATGGCTAGAGTCTAATTATAATAATCTGCTTTTTTTTTTTTTTTTAAACTCTGTGGCTAGAATGACAGACACCCCTAGAGGTGAAAGAATTAATCCATACCTTCTTCCCAACATCTAATGGAAGATATAATTTTTTATTGTCTTTCTTGCAAAAAGCACATTTGCTGTTATTTTGTGGTGCTAGGGATTGAACCTAGGGCCTCACATATACTAGGCAAATGCTATCATTGATACATCCCTCGTCCCTAATTTTATTCTTGGGTATTCTTATTTGTTGGATAACCATTTCTATTGGTAAACTATGTTTTGAACCTCTCTCTCTCTCTTCTTTACAGAGTTTTAAGTAGAACAATGTATAGATGTATGTAGTAACTCAAAATCAGTTTGAAACATGGTGGAATATAAATAAACTCCTTTAGGGGTTAAATTAAGGATTAGAAGTTGAGTGTACATAATTCTTTCAGTAAGAACCAGAAATTTACTCTATTACACAGTTGAAGTAAGGTATAGGTAATATGATCTTAGAAATACTTATATAACCCACATATGGACTATAGATATTATAGATATAAAATAGTTTAAATACTAATAGTTGGCATTAGATTCCAACTACATGTGTGAAAATATGAGCTTTGCAAAAACAAATATATTTGGAGTGTGATTAATGCATTACAGAGACTTAAAGAAAACAACAGAAAGATTTGGTACTGATTTACTTTAAATAGCCAAATCCTATAATGAAGTTATTATTAATTCTTTAATGTAGGTAAGAGTTGGTGAACTTCTAGCTCTTTTATGTAATAAGATGTCTGTAATTTTAGGCTCTAGCAACTGATTTAAAATAGTGTTCCTTTTTTAGTATAAGGTACATGATTGATACTTTCTTCTATTGCTTTGGCAGTTGCTGTACATAATCCTACAAATATATATTTGACCAGCTATCTCAGAGATCCTCTAACTAATCTAACTGAGCCATCTTACAAGCTTCTGCTTAGATTTTATAACCCACAGCTAAGTTGTTCTTTTAAGATTTAGTTGGTAGTAGGTTGCCTCCTGCTACCAAACTATAGTTTTGGATTATTTACCTGAGAATCTCACTTTTATATCTGGCTAATGACTACACAGTGCATAYGATCAAGATACATTTGAAAGAAAATCTTTACATTTGTAGATAAAATAGCATGTTGCATTTTCTAAGCTAGTCATTGCTAAATGGTGCCATAAATTTAAAGAGAAACTTTCTATTATTTAATACTTATRTAAGTACCCAGAGGCCTTTCTTATGGGATGTGATTTTGTAACTATGTGTAGTGTTGAACTTTTACATTTAATATAAGAAACAAAATTATATATCATTTTCTGAGGCAGTCACTGGCATGACTAACAGAACATTAACTACTTTTTCACAGAGTTGGTCACTTTAACTTTATGCTTGTGACCGTGCGATTAATGCAAAGTAAAATTTTTTTACTTGGCAAATGAAAATTGATATTACGCTAACCATAGTCTTCTCTATTATGTTCATTTACTATTATGGTATATGAAAAACTTCTCCCAAGACATTAGAATTAATTTTATTACTATTATTATWTTTTTTAGTTTTTATGTAGTCAGAGGGAATATATATCTYGGTCAAAATTAAATTATTTGTAGCAATGTGTTTTTCCTTTGTTCATAGTAACAATCTCTGATGCAGTAGATATTTAACTAAGCTAATTATTTGGAAAGAAAGGATAAGTGAGCTGGGAAAAAAAGGAGAGTCAAGTAACAAGTGTACAAATCATAGTTTTGTCCATGTATGTATTTTTAAATGTCTTTAACTGATTTCAAAACTTTTTTGCATCAATACAAGTAAGTCAATAAATACATTTGTTAAGTAGAAGATGGAAAAAATAGTATAACCTGCCTATTTTCCATCCATGATCAGCTTCTAAAAGTGGAGGAAAGGCTGAGCTTTACAGAGTGGTCACTGAGAAGGCAGACCTCTGCCTGGAGCCCTAAGGAGCCCAGCACTTAGTAGCAAAGAGAAGCACTATGAATATAATTTGCCTTTCACTTTGCAGGCTTTTTATTTATTTCTTTMCAGCTCATTTTTAGCAAAAGGCTGTAGGTTTTCTCAAATAGTTTTTGTTTCTTTTAAAATCAAGGAATATTATCTTAAGTTAATATTTTGGTTTTCATCATTAAACATTTTGAGAGTAATTTAGTTCAATGAACATTTTTAGCAGCTATGTTTCTAGCAATGGTTAGAGGGGTGACTATCAATTTTCACCCTGTGAGATCTTGTGGTAATCTAGTAGGAAGATAGATCCTTATATAACTAGCAGTGATATGCCAAATGCTTTGCTAATAGTACTAACAATGTTTTGTAGGAGCACAATTCTTACACTAAGGGTGCTTTTTGTTTTTATTCTTATTCTGTTGGTCACTCAACATTTTATTCTGATTGTGCTTCAGATTTGTTAAAATATCATCCTGTATTCTCATGTAACATATAAATAGGCATTAAGTTTTTGAAAACTAGAAATGCTTATTCTTAATATATTTTGAATATTGCTAACATGAACTTTTCATTTTCTGTTTTGAAGTAGCATCACATAAAATGAGAGTTTATCTCAGGTGAATTATTTTTATATCAGCTATTCTTATAAGGTAAAAGTTTACTTATTTTTTTATTTATTATATGTAATTATATGTAATTCTCAATGCTGTCCTTTAAGAAAAGTGAAATGCTTATATTATTAATAAGCTTTAAGAAGCTGAAAATATAAGTCACACTCTTCATTTTGTGTATTGAAATGAATTCTTTGTTATTCAGTATTGATAAGTGAATGAGAGGATCATATTAAAATTAAAGTAAAAACCTGGCACTTAAATTGTTAGTTATTTTTTAAGTATGAAGGGGAGTTTTCAAGTAGGAACATTGCGGTAATTATGTTTTTTTAAGTTGGAAATTTTTTATTAGTGCATTATATACTTATACAAAATACTGAGGTTTATTTTTACATGCATGGAATATAATTTACTCCACTTAAGTCCTAAGTACTTTTCTTTCCCTCCCTTCCTCTCATGTTCCCCTTTCTTTACTCTACTGGTCTTCTTTCTATATCTATGTGTATTTTTTAATTGGTGCTTAAAGATTTACATAAAGGTGAAATGCACTGTAGTATATTCATATATGTACATAGCATAATTTGGTCACTTAGCATGATGGTGTCCAGTTCCATCCATTTACCTGCAAATAATATAATTTCATTTTTCATTAATCTTGAGTAAAGCTMTATTATGTAAATGTATACCACATTTTCTTTATCACTTTATTGGTTAATGGGCCCCTGGGCTGGTTTTAACTCACATTCAGACTTTAAACATAAATTAGGTTTATTTATTGATATTTTTATCTCAACTATTTTGTACAAATATAAAGGAATCATTCATTTACACTTTATAGCATTTAACATACTAAGTTATTCCCAATTATTTAACACTATGTACAAATTTATCTATTTTCTTAGAATTTTAAAAATAAATTTGATTGTTTTAAACATTTAGGCAATATTTTAAATTTAAAGAATAGATTTTCTTCCCAGGCACCTAAACAACTCCTGCAAATTAATAAACTGCTTTTTAAGATAAGCATATCAAGTTCTCAAATTGTAAGCATCTCAAAACTAGACAACATATATAGAACTATCTAATTGCAAGACTTTCTAGCACAGTTGCATAAAGGATTCTTGCATTAATAAAATATCAGTATAATATTTTCTTTCTTCATACCTACAATGTGCCTTYCTAGAGTACACATGCTAATAAAAAGTCTATGAGGTACCACAGTTTTCTCCTTTAATAACTGGAAACCAAAATATGGATGCTAATTAGGTAGCTTAAATAATGTGGCACTGATCAAGGCCTGTCTGTAAATTCAGTGCTCACACAGATGTAGAGCCTGGGTCCCTTTCCAGGACGAACCTGACAGCTGTTGAGGTAGTGCTGTTTTTAGGTTCAGACTTTGGTTTTTGAAATTGCAGTATATCTTAATTCAGTCTAGTTCAGGTTTTTGTAACCCAATATTTTACCTTAACACAGGGAATCACTTCATTCCATTGTTATATTTCCCAAAACTCAAGATAATAGGATTTTCTGACTTCTCTGTTCTGACCACAGCATTATCTTCTTAAATACTAGCTAAATGAATCCCTCACCTGGGTTGCAATTTTACTTCCCTTTCTATTTTATAATTCTTTCTTTGAAATTTACTTTTCACTAGCACATATAACATTTTTACCTGTTTATGTACAGTGTGACAATTGTTGTATAATTTATTCTTTCAGTGACTGAGATTCAAACTGGGGCCTTGCACATGCTAAGCATACACCCTACTGCTGAACTATATACTTGTAACAACTTTAACCACAATATTATGGTCATTTTACTGACAGAATGATACCATTATTGTTTTGGATSATCTTATCTAATTGTTATGTATTAATATATTTTTGTCATATAGTTGGAAGAAAAGTTATTGAGTACTACTTATCTTGCTTATATAATGATGAGTACTTTCTTTGGCCCAATTATATTACTCATATTTTTATGTAATTATTTTAAAAGTGATTTTTTTGTCATTTTCTGTTGACTACATTTAAAAACTCACATAAATATATGTATACTTAAGTTTATAATTGAACAAGATTAAAGTTATTCTTACTCAGGCTTTACAAATTGGTTGGAAACCCTAACTCTAGTGTTAGCACTGTTAATTTTTAAAGATATTATTTTTATGCTTTAATTTTTTAAKAAGTAGGTAATACATKTGGCACAGTTGAAAATTTGAAAGTATTCAAGAATAAAAACTAAGTCATCCTGACCTGCTAGGGTAAGAATAAACTACCTGCAAAGCCCAAATGGAACTTCTGGTCTTTAAACATGAAAATGCAGGTTTTATTTAGCTGGTAAAAGAAATACAACCTAAAATGTGTGACTCTGGATACTGAATACACTAGCTTTAGAATTTATCTTCCCCAAATTAAGGCACTAGGTAGTCCTTGAAGGCCACCCATAGCAGCATTTAATCATCAGAACCAAATTCTTTTCATTGTCATTCATGTGTTCTTAGATGTTATATTCTGTGMCTGATATACATCAAGCACTGTTCTAAGCACCAGGGACTGTACATTATTCAAAAATACTGTACAAAAAATTTTGCTCTGAGTTTTTATTATAGAAAAGTGAAACAAACTACCTACCTAGATAGAATATATGTTGTGTTAGATGGTGAAATAAAAAGGCACATCAAGACTCCTGGAGTCAGGTTGGATGTTGCAGGTGAGAGCAACCTGGTCTCATGTGAGAGCACACAGGAAAACAGAATTATAGGCAGAGGGAACAACAGGTACAAAGGCCCTGAGGCAAAGCATGTGCATATCTGAGAACAAATGGGACYRGTGAGATGAGCCAACTCATGAAGGGGGAAGTTAGAAGAAGAAGGGTCAGAGAGAGATGGCAGAGAGGGCCCTATGGACCTGTTATGAACTATGAGTGAGGTCAGAGGTCATTGGAGGACTCTGAATAAATGCGTGACGTCATTTGCTGTATCTGAACAGGAAAACTTTACTGCTGGRTTGAAAATAAACAAGATTTGAAGGGGCGGAAGAAGGGAGATCCATTGGGAGGCAACTGCATTTGATTTGGCAAGAGATGCTAAGTTGAGTCAGGGATGTGGTACAGAGTGGTTGGATTCTGGATGTTCTGAGGGCAGAGATTTTAGGGCAGTGGGGTGTGGGAGAAGGATCAAGGATTGCAAGGTTTTGGGGTTTTTTTGTTTTGTTTTTATCCCTTGAGCTACGAAAAAATAGAATTATCAGCAATTATTTTCTCAAGTAGATTATCAAGTAGATGAAGAAGACATTGACATGTAGTTTGAGGAAGTCGGGAAAGGATCAGGAATCCAGTTTGAGACTTATTAAATTTKATACATTCACCCAAGTGGTGATGTCTAGTGGGCAAAAGAAAGAAACCTCAGAAGCAATGGTACCTCTGAGTCCACTCAAAAGCTGAGAGTCAACAAGTATTAAGCAGTGGATTAAAATGCAAAAAGGTCCTGACAGCAAGACACAGCTAACACTAACTGACAGACACTGCCAAAAGATAGGGGTACTGAGCCCAAGTAAGGAAGTCTTGGGACCTAGTGGATCAAAACATTAGCTACTGAAGGACTGAACATAAGGAAGTTGTAAGGTGCACTGAGCTGGTTGATTTCCTTGAAAGTCCTGGTGAGGAATAGAAAGACAACTTTGAAGAGAGCCATCCCTGATGGGTTGGTAACATAAGAAAATAACACAGGCAACCAGAAGATCATAGTACCACAGAGTCAGAAAATGGATCATCAAGTTCTCTGACCTGTTTACTAAAGAATGTTTATTTCAGTGTACCATCAGAAGAGAGCTCTAGTTTGGAAACTGCATTAACTGCTTGAAACCCTCTGCTTCCTGTACCAGCTCCATAGAATGGCCTGTTTCTGGCTATAATGGATGCTGTAAAGAATCATCTATATTGTCTTCATGAATAAAGAGCATTTTTCTCCAGCTACAGAGGGTGCTATCAGAAAATAGTGTTGTGCTTTCAGTTCTCTAGGGCAGTCTTAGGTATCTCATGTAAGATCGACTCCAGAATCTGCTTCTATATCCCTTTCTGGCCATTAGGAATAATGTGCCACTCAGCAGCTACGGGACCTAGGCACATCTACCCAGGATAGCTTGGAGAATGTTCACAGGACTGGATTCTGAGGGTGTTTGATAAGGTGCTGCAGAACATAAAGTTGGACCAGTTTGTTGGGTAGCACTCATCTGGCATGCAGCATCTTTTAATACCCTGGCAAGAACCTCAGGAAATAGTGTGAACACACTACTACAMGCATGGAAAAAGCAATGTTCGTATATGATTCTACAGTACCACAAATAAATGTTGAAAAGCTGTGTTTTGTTAGGGAACAAAGGATGAAAAGACTTGGAAAACTTGGCATGCTTGAGTGGGTTGACTGTATGAGACTGGAAAACAAAGTAGATGACTAAATTCAAAGCAGTGAGGAGCAACTAGT